ACAGGGGGGGACCCAGGTGACCAGAGGGGACCCTGGTGACCAGGGAGGACCCAGGTGACGTGGGGGGACAGAGGTGACCAGGAGGGGACCCAGGTGACCATGGGATGTCCCAGGTGACATGGAGGGGACAGAGGTTACATGGGAGGACATGGGTGACATGGGGGGACCCAGGTGACCAGAGGGGACCCTGGTGACCAGGGAGGACCCAGGTGACGTGGGGGGACAGAGGTGACCAGGAGGGGACCCAGGTGACCAAGCAGGACCCAGGTGACATGGGTTGACCCAGGTGACCAGGAGAGGTGGAAGGATGAGGGACCTTCAACCCCCCTGCCACCGGATGTCCCCAATGTCCCCACCTGTCCCCCCACCCCATCCCTGAGGTCCTCACGTCCCTGTGCCACCTCCCGTGTCACCCGAACTGTAAAGAAGTTTTTCCGTGTATTGGAACCGAACTTCGTGTTCCAACAACACCCCCAGGAACCCCCGAGGAACCCACCCCAGTGCCTTGCCCACACCATTACCACCAGTAACACCCCCAGGAACCCCCGAGGAACCCACCCCAGTGCCTTGCCCACACCATTACCACCAGTAACACCCCCAGGAACCCCCGAGGAACCCACCCCAGTGCCTTGCCCACACCATTACCACCAGTAACACCCCCAGGAACCCCCGAGGAACCCACCCCAGTGCCTTGCCCACACCATTACCACCAGTAACACCCCCAGGAACCCCCGAGGAACCCACCCCAGTGCCTTGCCCACACCATTACCACCAGTAACACCCCCAGGAACCCCCGAGGAACCCACCCCAGTGCCTTGCCCACACCATTACCACCAGTAACACCCCCAGGAACCCCCGAGGAACCCACCCCAGTGCCTTGCCCACACCATTACCACCAGTAACACCCCCAGGAACCCCCGAGGAACCCACCCCAGTGCCTTGCCCACACCATTACCACCAGTAACACCCCCAGGAACCCCCGAGGAACCCACCCAAGCAGCTTGCCTGCACCAGTAACCACCAGTAACACCTCCAGCAACCCACTCAAGTGCCCAGCTCACACCAGTACCACCAGAAACCACCAGTAACACCCCGAGGAACCCTCCAGGAACCCCTCAGGAACCCATCGTGCCCTGCCTGCACCAGTATCACCAGCAACACTCCCAGGAACCTCAAAGGAACCCACCCAAGTAGCCTGCCTGCACCAGTACAACCAGTAAGATCTCCAGCAGCCCTCCAGGAACCCATCCCAGTGCCCAGCTCACACCAGTACCACCAGTAACCACCAGGAACCCACCAGGAACCCACCCAAGTAGCTTGCCTGCACCAGTACCACCAGTAACACCCCCAGCAACCCTCCAGGAACCCACCCCAGTGCCCTGCCCGCACCAGTACCACCAGTAACACCCTCCCAGTAACACCCGTGTACCTCCACATCCCTCCGTGTCCTCTCTGTCCCCTCCACGTCCCCAATGTCCCCCCCAATGGCTCCACATTCCCCATGTCCCCAACACCCCCAATGTCCCCGTGTCCTCCACCTTCTCCCAATGTCCCCACGTCCCTCAATGTCCCCAACGTCCCCCATGGCCCCAATGTCACCGATGTCCCCGATGTTCCCCACCCCCCGTGTCCCTGATGTCCCCATATCCTCCCGATGTCCCCCAACGCTTCTGATGCCTCCATGTCCTCCGCACCCCACACGCCCCCAGTGTCCCCATGTCCCCCAATGTCCCCATATCCCCCACATCCCCCGGTGTCCCCACATGCCCTCAATGTCCCCATCTCCCCCAACGTCCCT